TTTATTAATATCTATTCTTTTTATTTTCTAATTATTTTATTTTTTTTATTTAGCTTGATATGGGTTTTGAGGTAAGAAGAATAAATAATAATAGTGCAATATTTATATATTTGTTTTTCTCATTTCATTAGCCACAAATTCGTGAGATTGTGGAACGGTCAGATATGCCGTCCACAGGCCAACGTTTAACACTTATGTTTTCAGCTACTTTTCCAAAACAAATTCAGGTATAATTATTTCTTTATTAATGTTTGTCGAATGCTATATTATAATAATTTATAAATTAGGAATTAGCACGTGATTTTCTTCATGATTATGTCTTTTTGGCTATTGGTCGTGTAGGTTCAACATCACAAAATATAACGCAAAAAATTGTTTGGGTAGAAGAAACTGAAAAACGTTCATTTTTACTTGATTTACTAAATATTCAATCTGGTAAAACAAACTTAAAAATTTTATTTGTGTAAATTAAAATAAATTTTGATGAACTATTTTAGATACATTAACTTTGGTATTTGTTGAAACAAAACGAGGAGCTGATATGCTTGAAGATTTTCTTGGCAATCATCAATATCTCGTGAACAGTATTCACGGTGATCGATCACAAGCTCAACGTGAAGAAGCATTAAAATCATTTAAAAATGGTCGTACACCTATACTCGTAGCAACAAGTGTAGCTGCTCGAGGTCTTGATATTCCGTAAGTGTTTTTATTCAAAATATTGTACAATAGCTGACAGAATCATTTTTTTTTCTATCGAGTATGCCACTTAAACAGGTGTGCTTCTTGTACAGCAATTGAATTATAACAATAGACTTTTTTCTTGACGATTAAGTTTTTTTAATAAATATTTTTTTTTCTAGGAATGTAAAACATGTTATTAATTTTGATTTACCAACGGATATTGATGAATATGTTCATCGTATTGGTCGAACAGGTCGTGCTGGTATGACAGGTAAGCAAAAATAGATATATATATTCTTTTTGAAGATTTCTATTCTACCCTATATATTAATTATTTTAGGTCAAGCAACATCTTTCTTCAATGAAAAGAATCGTAATATTGCTACAGAATTACTCGATATTTTAACTGAAGCCCATCAAGAAATACCTGAATGGCTTGAAGGTTTAGCGAGAGAAACTAAAAAAGATAATTATTCTAAACGAAATTATGGTGGTGGCCGTCGGTATGTCGATAATTTCATTGATATGATATATAGATACATATATATAAATCATTTTTAGACCTGGTGGTTTTGGTGCACGTGATTATCGTAATCCATCTCAATTACGCGGTAGTCGAGGTGGTGGTGGTGGTGGCGGCGGCGGTAGTGGTAGTGGTGGTAATAATCGTCCAGGTAGTTCAACTAGTGGATATAGTAATCATCAGCAACAATGGGAAGGAGCCAATGGTAATGCCGGTGGTAATGTGTGGAGTGGTGATCATCAGTCAGGTAGTGCTGGTGGTTATGATCGTTTTCAACCACCAACTGCTAGTGGTAATGGTAATCGACAAACAGATCAAAGTTGGTGGGATAGTACGTCATGAAAAGAAAATAAAATAAACTAATCAACATCCTTCCTCATGACGCGCAATCTCATTCATCAACAATTATATATTACACACATGATACCTCGTTTTTTTTTTGACAAAAACAAACTGTTTTTTTCTCTCGCTCTTTGTTTGATTGTTCAATGTTATGTTCGTTTCATTTCACATACATACACCTAAATGGACCGGCGCTGTTTCGCTCTTTCTTTTTTTTTTCTTTCTTTGCCGACAGCGATGGCCTACCGGTCTTCTATCGATTTTAAACTTAATTTTTTTTTTGTTTATTTCAATGTTTCTCTCGTTCTATTACTGTCTCTTTTTTTTCTCCTCCGTATATTTTCTCCCGCTCTTCATACAGTGTGTGTCCGTTTATTCAAAACGATGAGACTTTTTTTGACGAAATCGTACGTTTTGAAAACGATGATTTCGCAAAAAGAGTATCGTCATTATAGCTATGAAGACGCTTGTGAGCGTTATTTGAGAAGTTTGGATGTTAAATTATACGAAACGAAATGAATGAGATAAAGAAATTAGGGAACTTATAAAAAGAACAAAAAAAATTTTATTAAACATATTAATGTGTATTTAACAAGATAGAGCACTATCTAATCGATCATCGTTTATAAATCAAGTCAACAAAGTTACTTTAATTACAGATAGATATGTGAGCACTGAAAGACAGTGATGTCTATATTGATTTTAATCGAATATTTTCATGTAATAGGGTTAGTAGAAATGAAATGGTTCTTTGATACCGTGGGAATATTTTGATATGAATAAGAATCCCATCTAAACAGATGACATCATATGTAAAGTGTATTTCAACATACCAGTGGAAGAAAACAAACTATTAAAAATATCAATAATAAGATAAAAAAATATTTGGTCAAATATATTTAATGACTGTTATGAATTACACAGGCATTGTAAAACATCATTAACAATCATTAAAAATAATACTACTATCGAAATTTAAAAAAAAAGGTCGTCAGATAAATTGCTTACAATTTTTTTACCAAGATAGCTAGAGTCTTGTGACCTTCGATATTCGAGAAAAGGAACCGGGAAACATTACCGGTGCATTCTCTCAAAGAGTAAAGGCCAAAGGACTGCAGTTATCTTGGTTAAAAAGCTATAAATATTTCCCCTGATTGCTTTTTTTTCAAATTTCCGATATATTGTAATTGTATTAATTACGAAAAAAATATCTATAAAAGCATGCTTAATTATCGTATATACTCGATCCAATTATTAATAGACAATAGTATTCACTGATAATAAATTATCTCTTACTTTAATTATATAAAGAAAAAAACGAACTCTTTTAATTATTCTAAGTAGCTATATTTATATTATGTATCATTTCTAAAGAATTTTGAGAAGCGTCTATTAATAACAACTAAACATTGTAATTTATAAATCTGGTTTAGTTGGTAATTTTTAAAGATAAGCTATATTATTATTTTTCTTCGATATTTGTTCTTAAAAAAATAAATCATATGATTGTTTAAGTCAGCTGCGTTTTGAATACAAAGACAAAAAGGGTCTCAAAGTTAAAGAAAAACGAGATAAGAGATAATAATACTTTCTATCTTTTACATTTTTCATTTTACATAACTATTTGCTCTTTTCAACATGGTGTCATCATCTGTGTCTGTCAGCACTATTATTATCGTTATATTTCTACCATTAATATATACTACAGGTTTAAAAAGTGTATATGAAGTTCAAATTCAAAAAGAATTTCTTGCTTCAAATATATATTTAACATTTGCTCATCGTTTATCTTCACATGGTGTTTATCATGGTTTTGCAAAGTTTTTCTTTGAATCAGCAGAAGAAGAACGTGATCATGGAAAGGAATTACTTGATTTTTATAATGTACGTAATCGTGAAGTACTTCTCTATGATATTAATATCGATGATAATATAGCAAAAATGGAAGATCTCGTCGAAATGATTCGAGCAGCTGATCAATTAGAAAAACAAGTCTATGATAATCTTATTCAAGTACGTTTACAAGCAAATACTGAAAAAGATTATCCAACTGTTCATTTTATTGAAACAGTTATGCTTGAAGAACAGACGACAGCATTAAAATATATGAGTGATTTAGTTAAACGTATTGAACGAAATTCAGACAATGTAGCGATTTTATTACAAATGATGGATCAAGATTTACGTAAAAAACAAGTGAAAAAACCATGAATAAGCTAAACTTCGATTATTATATATCTTATTTTCTTTGTCTTTTTATTCTCTACTATAAGTAATAAAACCTTGAATAACAAAGAAAAGAATTCAACAAAGATATATTTAAGTACAACTACTAATCTAACCGAAAAAAAGAAGAAATGATAATATCTAATACTTTACTAGTGTATGTATATACGTGGGAGATTATCTACAAAAGGAAATGAAGATTATGAAATAGTATTCTAATATCTAATGTTGAGAACGATGAGATATATCAATCTGTCACTAATATAAATACTACCACGCTTATGATATTAATGGAATTATATAAATGTCTAAAAACTTGGCTAGTAGTCATTGATAGGCGATGATATGAAAAAAAAATATCGTTAGACTATTTTCGCTATTTAGAGAAATTATTTTGGATAGACCGAAATAATACTAATTATTCTAATAATAATATATCAGGAGACTTCTGTATCTCTGGATAATATAAATAGTTGAAACTATTTATAACATTAATGTAAGTATATCCTTTATTCACATTATTTCGTTACGAATTCTAAATAGAATCAAATCAAATTGATTTTTTCTTTGAGGGTTTATTTAATAATACTACTGATGCGGATATCCATCTTGTAATCATTGTAAAAATATCTATATATAAAATGTATGAGTTAGATCCGTGTAGATACTGAATGATTGTATTATCTTTGTGTCAACAATGATTGCTCAACTAATGTTAGTCGATAGTCTAACATATTTTTCTCAATATTTATAGTAGAGATCATATAATGAGTGTATAACCATATAATTTATTTAGATTAATCCTCATTCTATATGATAATTATTATAAACAATAAATAATTATGTCAAACGATTATGCACTTTTTATTATTATTATACCAAATGATTTTGATCCAGGAAATTCTGTTGTTGGAAGTACAGAAGTAGCAAATATTGTTAAGCCACAACCACGAAGAGTGAGTATTGCTACACACATATATATATATTAATAAATCTAATTTTTATCTTTCATTTGAAAGGCATCATTTGATACAGTATCTGCATTAATGGCACCGGCTGCAATTCCTCTTGCTATATCACCATCGCTTAGTCCATTACTTGAGGTAAAAAGTGAAAATGATATATTACAATCATGTCAACGATCATCTCCAATATCAATATGTGCTTTATTAAAGACTTATCTTGCTGATAGAAATGATGTTGATGCAGTATGGTTATTATCTGAAAATCGAAAAACATATCAAGTTACATTTTATGTTGAATTTGGTTTTGTTAGTGATGAAATGTTACAAGATTTAGCTAGACTAAGTATCGGTAAAACAAATGGTACAAAAATATTTGTATTACCAACAACTGTTATTGTCAAAGGATATAATGATCAAAAAACTCGATCATTATCATCATCTTTACATACACTTGATGATTCAATAAGTACAATTGATGAGAAATCAACATCAATAAAAGAAGGACATCATTTAAATCATGATCATACTTTATCACGTAGATATCGTAAACGTTTTAATGAATCTGATTTTAAAAAAAGTGTACGAGCTCGACTTATGGTTCATCAAGTTGTTGCTAGTATTCGAGCATCAACAGCACTTTCATTTGATTTTGTTCTTTTAATATGTCTTGCTTCTGTATTAGCTGCATTTGGTTTATTAGAAAATTCAACTGTTATTATTGTTGCAAGTATGCTTGTCAGTCCATTGATGAATCCAATCTTAGGTATTGTATTTGGTCTCTCAGTACGTGATCAATCACTATGGCGACATGGTCTACGAAATGAAATTATTGGTTTAATTATCTGTACGACTTGTGGATTTATTATAGGGTAGATAATCGAGAATAATTAATATAGAATGATATTTTTATTTTATTTTTAATAGATTATTTACGACAATTTTCGAAACAAAATGGGGAAGTTCAACAAGTTTTCCTACATCCGAAATGAAATCACGTGGTGATGGTAAACGTTTATGGGTTGGTGTTTTTATTGCTTTACCTAGTGGTGCTGGTGTAGCACTTTCTGTTCTTGGTGGAAATACTGGTAAAAGAATCTGATTATTATATAAAACTAAAACAAAATAATTTTTTTATTAGGTTCACTTGTTGGTGTTGCTATTTCAGGTTAGTTTATATTAATGAAATTCTTCTTATTAATATCATACTATTGAAAATATTCTAGCTTCACTTCTTCCACCAGCTGTAAATTGTGGACTTCTTTTTGCTTATTCATTACTTGGTACAATCTTTTCAAGAGTAGTTGCTATTCAATCTCATGAATTTAATACTACAAATAATTACAATGATTCATCAATTCATTGCCCTAAATATATTAATAATGATTATCAACCACTTTATACATGTAATCTTGTTAGTGAAGCAGCTATATTAGGTTGTTGTAGTTTATTACTTACCATTGTTAATATTATATGTATTATAATTATGGCATTAATTATATTACGTATAAAAGAAGTCGTCCCATTACATCAACCAAATAAAGATATAGCAAATTTTTTTCATTATGATGTTCGTGTTGCACGTGATTATAATAAAACAATACATGAAGGTGATATTAATCTACAAGATCCATCAACACTAACTGTTCATAAAAATAATATAACACAAACAATTATAAAACGATGGAAATCTTTTAAATCTTCACCATCGTTTTCTTCTACTCATCAAGAACAACAACAACAACAACAACAATCAAATCGAGCATCACCAACATTATCAGTATATGTTGATTTGGATAATCATAGAAATAA